CCCCTCCCCCAGCTTCCAGCCACACTCCTTTTAAAAGCTGCAGGGAGGCTGCTTCTGGGAAATAAAGGCCCTGCCCCACAGGAGCACAGGACTGGACCACGGGGATCAGCCAGGGCCCGTGCGCCCTGAAATCACATCCCCCCCAGCCCCTTCTGCACTGAGACACGCACCACTCCCAGACTAAGTCTGGCCAGGGAATAACACAGACACATCACTGTCCTCTAGGGACCTGCCTTTCGCCTCTTGCCCCAGGGAGACTCTTTGCCATGCTGCTGCTGGGGAAACTGAGGCAGGGCAGGGCCCTGCCTGACTTTGCACAGTCCATCAGTCCCACTGCTGGAAAGAGACCTTGGCTCCAACCACTAGCCCCCACTGCCTCTCTCCAGGAAACCCCCAGCCAGGATCCCAGCTGGGTTCGGGCGCCCACGCAAGAGGGTTCCGAGGCAGGAAGACCAGAGGACTCCCAGCCCCAGTCCCTGCGCGGACCCACAACCACCGAAGCGGAGGCTCTGTACCTTGGTCGGCGAAGACACGCAGGATGTTCCCAGGGACATTCAATTCCTCCACCCTGCAGGCCTGCTCCGGCCCCTGCTTCCCAGAGAGCTGCTCTCGCTTCCTGAAGATCCTCCACAGCACGGAGGGCACCGGGGCGGGGGCCTTGGGGTTCGGCTTGGTGCTCAGGCCCAAGGATTTTAAAAGCAAACTTTCCGGCCTGCTCCCCTCCATGCCCAGGGCCAGGCTCAGCAGGGCCCAGAGCAGGCCAGCTGCCACCAGGGCTGGGGCAGGGACTGGCCCCAGGGCTGGGCAGGGCAGACAAAGGGCAGTGCTGCAGCCCCGCTGGCCAGAGGGGGTGGAAGTCAGGGGCACGAGGCTGGCTGTGGGAAATCGGGAGGAGGAACTGGCTGGCGGGGGGGGGGGGGGGGGAACAAGCCCCCAGCCTCAGAAATGGCTGGGGAGCCCTTTAACCCTTCAGAGTCAGCACTTCCCAAGTTCTGTTGTGGCCTAGGGGTTAGGGTGTTTGCCTGGGGAGGGCACAGTGGTGGGTTCAAACCCCCCCACCACCCTGGGAACAGCTGGATGGCAATACAGAGGCTGCCCTGCTGGAAGGTGGGGGAAACTTGGGGGGCAGAGAAAGGGAGCTGGCTGGGCACCTCCTTTCCGGAGCTTTGTTCCTGCCCAGCCACCGGGCTGCTCCACACACGGCGCCCGCTGGGACCCATCTAGCCCTGCCCATGCCACCTGCACCCCCCTGGGTGGCCACCGCAGCAGAAAGGCTCCAGAGCCCCTCGAGTGTACAGGGCGAGGTGCCCCGCTCCACAGGGGGGTGCTGTGACCAAGAGGGGATGGGGCCCCTGTGCCAGGTGGGCAGAGAGCAGGAGGGGAACCAGCCGCTCACAGGGGCGCTGGTCAGGCCCCAGCTGCCCTCTGGCATCACTGCAGCCCAGGTTAGGCTCAGCTCTCCCATGGCACCAGCTGCAGGCAGCCACCCCCTGGCTCTCTGCTTCCCCCCCTCTCTGGAGTAGGGATGGAAGGGGAGAGCCAGGTACCTGGTTGGCTTCTTCCTCAGCAGGTGAGGCCATGCCAGAACCCATCCCACCTTCAGGGCATCCCTTATCCCACCTCTCTCTGGGTGGGCGGGACTTGAACACACCACCCTGCCCTTATAAAAACGGTCAAAACATTAGATTACATGAGAGCAGGGCTACTCAATATGTGACCCCCCCCCAGTCCACGGTGCGGTTTGGGTTACGCAGGGCTCAAAACATGGCCTGTGGTTGGGAGCCAAAACAAAGAAGGAGTCAATATAATGGTCTTCTGTTGATATAACCCACCTCCCCTTCCCTTCAGGGCCTCCCTTAGCCCACCTCCCACCAAGGTGGGCTAAGGGACACCCTGAATGTGAGGTGGGGTCTGGTAACTGGAGGCCGGGCCGGGCAGCAGGCTGGGCCCAGGCCACTGTGGCAGGCGTGGCCAGGCTGGAGCAGCCCCCCACTCAGGGCACAGTGGCCTTGGACCAGCCTAGGGATGTTGCATTCCAGCTCTGGAGCCAGGCCTGTCTCCTGCCACATCTGTAACCTCCCCCTCCTCCCTGGTTCTCGCCTCACTGCCCCTCTGGCACCTCCTCCCCAGAGCGTCTGACACTTCCCCAGCCCGGTGATCCAGCCTGATGGGCTGCTAACTTCCCGCACTTCCACGCCCGCTGGGCCCCTGCAGAGCCACAGGAAAACCCACCCAGCCTGGACCAGGGCTAAG